CTGTCCTGTTTTTACCTCTTGTCTTTTTTTGGCGGTAACCATAATGGTGGTCGAGTAGATCATGTTGTGNGCCCCCGGCGTTTGCCATCGGGATTGGGTTTTTGTCGCTTGGCAACGACGTCGTAAAACAAGCCGATTCACTTCGTGAACTCGGCAACCAGGTTACCGTTTTTTCTGTTTTTACCTCTTGTCTTTTTTTGGCGGTAACCATAATGGTGGTCGAGTAGATCATGTTGTGCGGGGTCGAGAACCCTCACTCCGCGCAAGGGGGGATGATCGCACCACGTTGTGTTAAAATGGTCAAGCACCCTCGAGGCAGTTACACAGTGCTTGCAACTGTCTCTGGAAGTGAAGCACCAGAAAATAAATTAAGTCATACGCAGCTGTCATCCGTACGCGAGGAAGTAAGCACAAGATGCCGAACACCCTTAGCAGGATACAGCACACCCATCATGCGACTCGCCGAATATTTCACGGCGCTTCGCGCTTGGTGATGTGAGAGCCTGGTCCGGTGAGAACCCGGCGTGCTCCGTCCCGGCTTTGTAGGGATGCGAGGTCAATGGTCTAACGACTACGGCATGCACGACNGCGGCGAAAATTCCGTTTACCACAACGACCGTGGGAGTGACCCTCCACCCCCTCCACCCGCCCTCCTCTCTCGTGACTGTTTCCAGCAAGGTACCCCCACCAAACGTGGCAAATCCGATACCTGGGGTAGGCGTTTCGCAGAACGGGGCGCTGGCGGCGACGGCTCTGGCGGCGGCGGTGGCGTCGGCGACGGCAGCGGCAGCGGCGGTCGGGGGTGCGGGGCCACCCCCCTCGGGACAGGTGCGCCACCCATGTGGCGGGAAAGGGGGGCGTCGACTGCTGTACATAAGAGAAATGAGCTGTTCCGGTCTTCAGAATTGCTTTGCTGACATCAAAACGAATTGTGTGCAAATGTACAACTGTGCGTTCTTATTGGCTGGGTTTGTAAGCTTGGTGTCATGGGGGCCAAAGATTCGATTCGAATGCACGGGGGTCTTTTCTGCAGTGGGACAGACCGCTTGCGGTTGTAAGGGTCATGGGACCAGGCGTGGTGATCGTGCCTGAAACAGCGCAATCAACACCTCCTCGCAATTTGACGAGACGGGATTTTTTTTTTTGTCTTGACTTCAAAAGAGCGCTCACAGCACAAGTGGTGCCGTTTACTCCTCCCGTGGTCACACAGACGAGCCCCTTTCTACCCTCCCCTCCTGCGGTACTTGGCCTTCGATTTTCAATGCGAGACGAGTTCAGCACTCTCTGCCCTCGGTGTACACACGAACTAGCGCTATCCACTGGGCCAGGAGCGGAAGCGAGAGAAAAACTCACTTTGCAAGAAAAGCTCGCTTACGCCGGAATTCGAACCCCTGACCTGNAGACGGGACTGTGCGTGCGGCTTCTGCGATACTTTCTACAACTGCCATTGTTACTATTTTTGCCGCTCGACTTAAGGCACCAGGTGTCGGCTCGATTGAGGACGATTGTGCGTCCGACTGCCGTTGTCGTTTGTGTGGCCAATCGCCCCCAAGTTCGCGGTAGGGAAAATTCCTCCTCTTGCCTGGGTGCACGCCGGGGATTGGCATGGTGCGTCCCATAAAAGCGTGTGCATGTATGTGCTGGCAAGTTCTAGCAAGGCATTTTCTATCTATGGTTTCTGCGGAGACCGAGTCTCGGTCGAACAAGCGTTTGCATCCCCAAAACGATTTGTTTTTGTTCAACATTTAACGGCGAAATGTGTTCGTTGCCGCTCTTGGTTGTTGACGGCGAGGCCTTACCACGTGTCTGACTCTCGTCCTGTACGGTACGCTCGTGGTGTTTTTTTGTCTTCATCGCACTTGATCGTATGCATAGCATCATTTCTTCTATCCTGTGTGGAAGATATGCACATTTCACCGCCTGTACCCGTAGCCGCGCGGAACGTACGCCCGAACTTGAACGGTTCCCAACATCACAAAACTGACCCCGTCTCTTCGATGCTTCTGCGCCGATGCTGCGGGGTTTTCCACAGATGGCAGCGGCGTTGTCGGGCGGAGGGATCACGAGCAAGGTGGACGTGACCTACCTCAACTTCTTCCTTAAGGAGTTCAACGCGGTGAGTTGGCGCAGCGGTGGCTATTGTGTTTGGGCACTTCAGCGGGGGGGGCGGGGGTACACGAACATGAAGTAAGCATGACAGTGCACATTGGAGATAGGACTGGAGTATCGTGTTTTAAGTCCCCCGGTAACTTGTGACACGCCTGCCCCTGAGCCTGTCCACAAGCGGGTGTCCGGATCACTATTGATCGTCCAGGCTGCTGGCGACTGTAGCGGTGGAGGCATGGTGGTCGAGATAGCAGGAAATGTGCAGCTCATCGCCAAGACGTATGCACGTTGGAGGGCAGCGTGGAAATACCGCGCCCTTCTCGAAGCGTAGGTATACAGCTTAGTCTCGAAGGGTAGCTGCGCGTCCAAACCTATCACATTGTTGACCAATCGGATCTGAATGTTCACGTCTCGGTCAGTGCCTCCTACGGCATCAGCAGTTGTCGACGTCATCATCATCATCACCACCACAGCTACCACCATCACAATCGTCGACGTCGTGAAAAGTTGACACCGGGGCTCACGCGTCTTCGCCGAACCCTGCGCGTTGTGTCACAATTGTCGAGTTTTTGCGAGGAGGCTTTGTTCTACTGGCGACGGCGCAACACTTGCTATTTGGTTGTTACGATGGCGCTTTTTTTGTTTTGTTCGCCATCTCCTTCCTTCCTAGTTTGTCCCGCTGACGACGCAAGGCATCTTGAGGGACGCTCTTAACCCGGTGCCGGAGGCCCTGACGGAGCGATCATTCCACGGAGACGAAGAGTATAGAAGACAGGTGACGCGTGCTTCTGGTACTTGGTTGTGGCCTCAACACAAGTACAGATAGTGCCGGTACTGACGAACTGCGTACCTAAGAACAGCTACTCATGCCAAAGCTTACATGAACAACTTGGGCACCGCTTGTGGGCCCGGTCAAGACAGTTTGCGAGTCCGGTTGAGAACCCCTGTTACGATCCGAATTGTATAGCAGCCACTGTTCACAAGGGCAAGCAGGACCAGCCTCGGCCACAACTACTAGTAGAGGTGGTGGGCGCTATTTGTAGCTGTAGGTTTGTGCTGCTATGTTGTGGTCTATTGTTGGTTGGGTGAATGTTTTTGCTTCTCTTTTTGTTAGGCGTTCTTCCGTTTGCGCCATTGGCGCGAGCATATGTACCCTCCGCGTGTAGGAGATCAGAATTTTATTGGCAAGCATTACCACGCTCGGCGTTGAGGAGATCAGTTTATTGATTTTTCTGATAGTTGCTTCTATTCTGGAGATGTGTGTTTCGTGCTTGCCGCCAGAACAGGAGTTTGCTGGATTTTGTTTCCCGTTGATTCGTGTCAGTTCTTGTGCTGTTTGTTGCGACGGTCATAATGCGTGGGGTGTGAGCAACGATCACTACTGTTCTAAACGCACAGCGAGCGCTACGTGCACCGTTTGTGTTTTCGACCAAATTTCCGGCTTACTACACAACACCGGTGGTCTAGTGGGTAACTTCGCAGCCTGCGAAGGGCCAGGTCATGGGTTCGAGTCCCGACAGAGTGAGTTGTTTCTCGCTAATTAAATCCAGGTCTCCGTTGGAAGCGACGCGCAAGTGCGCTGTTGGTGAGCTCGATCGACTTCGTTAAGTCGCGAGGGAAGGGATTGATGTACCCTTCTCGCGATAAAAGTATCTCAGACAGGAACCGCAGGAGGGGGGTTCCAACCCCTCCCTCCTATGTGACCCCGGTTGGGTCGTCTAGCTGGTAGAAGTGGAGGATAGGTGCCAGAGAGGCAGGCGACAGAGTCCAATGATGGGAGAGAAAAAAATAAATAAATAACCCTGAACTCCGCACATCACCGCATTGATTGGGTGTCGGCGCTGTTTGTTTCGTTCAGAACGCTCGGGTGGCCGTGATCCAAGGCTGCATCACTATCGGCGCGTTGCTCAAGGGGCACACACAGGTGGGCTTCGTTCGACCTACCACCCTCCACGGCAAAATATTTGTAACAACTTCAATTAGCACCACCTTCTCTGTTTTCGTCCACGTTTGTGAGCACACCGAAGTGAATCATGTCCACTCGAAGAGGCTGGGTGCCCAAATGGAAGCTCCTGTTGTCGGCATCTTCTTGCCACATGTTTGTGTTTTTTCAGACAGAGGAGTGCTCTCTGCCTACACCATGTGCGAAGCAGATGGAGCAAAAGGCGTCCGAAATAACCATGGAGCACTCAAAGTTCTCAGGCAAGCTGCGGCGGTATCTCACAACCCTCCCCTCCCCCAGGTGGTAGGATACCTGCGTAACGTGCGGGAGGCACTGACCAACTCCTTCGACTTCGTCAGCTCCGAGACGATGAGCGCCTACATGGTAACGGCCTACTGCCACGATCTCATGGGAAACGCGGCGGCTACACGGTACGCGATCGAGTTTCCGATCCCCGCGTGTGCGCCGATGTCGGTGGCAGGTGGCGTTGGTGTATGAAAAAAAAAGAAGTAGAGATTAGATCCCCTTGCGGCAAAATCTAGGAGGGGGGCTGTCCTCCTTCTCGACACAACTTTCGAAAAAAACTTTCTCGCGGGAAGTCCGTTCTCTTGACATTTCCCCCCGTCCCCTGACCCCCGCACCTCAATAGGTACCCAAGAGGGCACGTGCAGTGGAAGTTGTGACGTCTTGCCACCCCCCGCCCAGATGTTTCTCCCTTCATTATCCCAGTTTGGCATGGGGGCTCATGCTGTATACTAGGATTTAGTGTAGTATTGTAAGAACTATTGCAACTTTCATTGTGGTAGGCTTTGGTATCACCTTCTTTTATCGATACAGCATTTGGCTTGGCTAGTGCCAAATCGATATGGTCTTCACAAGTATTGTATAGGGTTGAGTGTAGGAATTCTAAAGCCATTTTGTACCATTTTGTAGAGGTGTAAAGTTCGTCAAGTATTCTCTAAATCCTACCAAGTTATATCAAAGCACACATGAGATACGCGGGTTAAACGAATGATCACACTAAAACATGCTTTGTACAATACGAGATGACACGTTTGCATATAGCATATCGCGCACCATATCCTACCACACGATTACTCCCCCCCGCCCTGATTTGCCCTTCATCCAGTTTCAACCCGGTTTTAGGCTGATTCTCTTAAACATCTGGACTCCTAATCCAAAAAACGTCACTCTCCAGGATCGGCCAAATTCCGGCTGGAAAAAAACTCCGGCTGTTCGTGCAGTGAACCGGATTTGTCCGGCAGATACTTGGGGGTTGGATGTGGATCAAACCCAGCCGACAAAATCGGCAAGTGCGACCTGAGTTTTTGAAGTGTCGCTCCCATCAAGGGCTCCGAACAACACTTCGCTAAGTGTTTGCTGTTCTGCACGCTGGCTGTTGATGCTCGCTCGGCACGCATGCGTAAAAAAACATATCGCATCACACCAAACATGGCGACGCCGAAACAGGTCAAACCGCCACGAGACAGCAAAAAGAGCCGCTGTTTGTCAGAGACGGGAGGACACCGCAACTGATTTCTCGCTCCCTAGGCCACCGATCGAAGCCAGACCGGCCAGGATGTGCCCTCTGTTCCTTGCTCTCTGCCGGAGTAGATTTTTTGAGCAGCTCGTTGATCCAATCCTTCGAAGTCGTCGTCTGCGTGTACACAAGCTGCCTGTTGAAAATTGTTTCCAGGCCCTAACACATCGGTCTATTCTCAACTGAAGCAGACCAGAAAAAAAAATACAGTTCGAAAAAGCAACGGAGACCATGCGCAAGCTTCTCTCCGTCGATTGAGAGTACGAGCTGCTGAACAAATCTACTCCGGCAGAGAGCAACGAACAGTGGGCACATCCTGGCTGGTCTGGCTTCGATCGGTGGCCTAGGGAGCGAGAAATCAGTTGCGGTGTCCTCTCATCTCTTGACAATTAGCGGCTCATTTTGCTGTTTCGTGGCGTTTTGGCCTGTTTCGGCGTCTCCATGTTTGGTGTGATGCGATATGTTTTTTTACGCATGCGTGCCGAGCGAGCATCAACAGACAGCGTGCAGATTGGCAAACCCTTCAGCGAAGGGTTGCTCGGAGCCCTTGATGGGAGCGATACGTCAACAACTCAGGTCGCACTCGCCGATTATGTCGGCTGGGTTTACCAGCGGTGACTTTTTGGGATAGAAATCCGGGCTTGGCACCATCTGGATTCTGCCCAACTTTGTGTGTGAACGCAACACGGATTCCTGATGCTGGATTATGATGACCCGAAAAAGTGACAAATCCGGCTGCATAAGCGGGACTTTTGCCGATCCTGGATTTCTATGTTTTTTGGATTAGGAATCCACATGTATGAGTATCAGCCATTACTGCCCCGCCCGGGTCGGTCCTCAATCCAGTTTCCCGCTTATGGTGTTGGCCGTCAGAAACGTGACCTCGGCCTTTCCTCATTGTATCGACCTCTTCGTTTCTGACGCTGCATCCGGGACTCCTGCTTCCCTTTGTCGGCGCTGGTCGGTAGCAACTACATGGAGTTCGCGAAGGCGGTGGCGACGCAACTTCCGCAGGTGACGGTGGACCACGAGCTGGTGTTTCAGTTCTACCGCGTGTGCTCGGAGGTGCACAACTGCACCCTGTCGGCTACACCCAAGCTCCTCCAGCACGCGGGCGCGGCGGCTCCTTGCTACCAGGTGCGCTCTCTCGAAAGTGTCCGATTCATGGTGCGTGTGTTTCACTTTCTGACATCGACGGCGCTAACCGGCTTTGTGTGTGGAGTCTGTGTTTTTTTTCTCTCTTGTCGGCGGTATAGTAGACGCGATGTACTGAGTTTTGGGCAAACAACATTGCACTTACATGTATGTCCTCACTTGACAGGTGCTCAACGTGCTGACATACGCCTTGTACGACCTGGCCCATCTTGCCGCGGAGGAACTCACCAACACCATTTCCAAGGCGCAGGCGAGTACCATGGCGTTTGCAGTTACTACCGCTGCTGCCGCTGCTGCTGTTGTTGCCGTAGCTGTTCTATACACCAAACGATGTTTTGCTTGGACGTACGGCTAACTCATGGTAAAGTTCCCGGCGTGAGCGAGACAATACAAGAGGCAGGGACGGAGCTATAGGTTGCAGTTTGCGACGTACTTGCCGACGGAGCGCAAAATCCCGTTTTTTTCATGGCGATAAGGAGCACGTCACTTGGCACCCCGGCAGATTTGGTTCAGTGTTGCTGTTCGTGTCCAATGTCGTTCACGTGGTGACGGTGGAGTTGAGCCCCCTGTCCCTACCCTGGCGATATGAACCGTCATTACTCTGTATTTCTTGCTTCTGGGCCGGAATACACGCCTCTCCCCCCGCCCCCTCGCCGCCCCCACATTTGGCAACACCCGTAAAGATCACCTTGTGGTTTTCTGAAGTATTTTGGTTCCAAGTTTGGATCAAGGAGACAGCGGTATCACTGTTTGGTTCCCGCCATACAGGTGATGGCGGAGTTGAACTCCCTCTTGCCGATCCTGACACGTGCTGACGGCATGAGCCAGGACAACTCGTCCTCGTTCGGAGCTCTCGGCGTCGTGCTCGTTAAGGGGGTACTGGCCTACATCTTGCTACGTTTGGGTAGGAGCCAAGACGGGCTGGAGGTGTGTGCTGGTGATGATGTTGCCGTTTTGGTAGTGTATTCCGCGCCTGCGGTAAATGCAAGGGGTGTTGGAGTCGCTTGTTTTCCTCCACACCAGCGTCCTCAAGGCCGCCACCTGTACGTGCATTGTTAGCCGTAACTTAACGTAATCCTCTTGGGTGAGACTTTTCGTGTTTTGGCTGGGGTGACGGGTAGGATTGTCCGTGTCCACAACGTTGTGGATGCAAAACGGTCTGGAAAACGTTTGGTTTTGTTTGTTGTAGCTCTTGGATCGCTTGTTTTCCTCTCCGCATCAAACGTAGGCTTAC